ATTGTCAAGTGGTGATTTATATGTTCTTTCAAAACTTTTTCAAATATTCTGCAGAAAAGGGATGTAATACTGACAGGCCGGTAATTCTCGGGATTCCATGATGGTTCTTTCTTTAGTATTGGTGTGACATAGGAGTGCTTCCAACGTAAGGGTACCTGTCCAAGTGTTAAAGACTGATTAAAAATATAAGCAAGGGGACCACAGATAACATCAGCCATTTTTTGTACAATAAAGAATGGTATCAAATCAGGTGTTACTGAGGAGGAACCAGGCCATTTCGTGATTAAATCATGCAACATGGTGGCGGTGAACGAGGGAAAGTCTTTCATAGGCTCAGTTATGGGGCACGCATAATCAGGTATTTTCCCATCATCTTCATTAAAAACATTCACAAAGTGGTCAGCTAACATGTTGGCTTTATCGATAGGTGAAATCGCTAAGATTCCATCTTTTCTCAGGCAACCAATACGTTTGAAGTCTTGAATTCTCTTACTTAAGTACTTATGAAAATTACGAACGTTCCCTGAATAAATAATTTTCCTCTCTAAATAGTCATTATATTTTTTGAGACGTGCGCTGAATCTCTGTGTGAAAGCTTTGAACTCTTCCCAATCACCTCGTTGTCTTGCTTCATTGAACAAACACTCTCGATGTTCCCACATATTTTGTAGATGTTTGGGAAGATGGACTGACTTGAAACAAGGAACTTTTTTCCAAGGAACGTAGTAATCGATAGCAGCATGCAGTACAGATAAGAATAGCTCATATTTATCATTCACATCGCTTCTTGATTCTAGCAATGGTACCCAACGAATCTGAGCTAGATCAGTACAAAGTTCATTGAAATTGCAGTAAGAATACATGCGTCTATAAACATAGATAGGGGAGGACGAGTTACACGCAATTTGAAATTCGATACTATTGTGATCACTTAAACCCACCGGAGCGCTAACTGTAAGACTTTTCTATTAAATTTGGGACATTGGAAAAAACTAAATCAAGAATACTATTCCCCCTTGTGGCATTCTTGACATGCTGGGTGAGGTTATGACATTGAGCAAGTTCACTTAGACAGGATACCACAGGTGACGTTGGAAGAACCACCTCTTCTTGGCAAAATTCTGGAAGATTGAAATCACCCATAATCACAGTATGTTTATCGCATGATATCAAGTCACTGAGCGCTTTGATAAGCAAGTCCGAATTTGCTCTAGAGCATGAAGGAGTTCTGAAGTTGTAGTCTTCAGCGAATACATCCACACAGAGCACTTCAAAAGAGTCTTCAACAGATTCAGCAAACACTAAACACAACGAAAGCCTGCGCTGAGCAATAAAGATGACCCCACCTCCAGGTTTTTTTGGCCGATCACATCTAATAATATCATAGTTATCAGTTATCGTACCCAGAATAGAGGTCAATGTGTGATTAGGTTTCAACCAAGTCTCTGAGAAGGCGTATATATCATAATGTTGAGTCAGCAATATGCGTAAAAAGTCTGAGTTTTTAGAGACTGATCGGATGTTACAATAGAAAAACCTCAATGAGCGAACGTACCGAGGAAAACGTCTCAGTTTCCCTCGATATTTTCGGAGCGATTGGTCGCATCTCTAGAATAGATGGTGACATCTTGACTGTTATTGTAGGTTGACGTACCATCTCGATTCCTAGTTATGCGATTACGCTCTTCTCGCCTTTGTTGCCTCTGTTCTAAAGTTAGGGATTCTCGTATGTAGACTCCCTTTCCAGAAAAATGACGCAGTCGTGGTGCTCTCTTTAAAATCAACCTTTGAAAAACACGAGAGGGTAACACTACTTTTAACAGTCTATTTTTTCCTACTAGAGGTCTTCCTAAACGATACACTGTCATTGGGTTACACTCAACGTTCAAGAAATCAAGTATATTACACACACTTGCGAAATCATAAGATAGGCGTTCTCTAGAATTTTCAGATTTCAGCTCAGGCACACCACTAATAACTACAGAACGAAGCCTCTCGACTTCATGGTATGGTAATTCCTCTCGTACGGGAGGAACATGACCAGAAGTCGCTGGCCTCTGAACTTCAGATACGCTGTTATTATGGCTATTGGTCGACATTTCACGGGGCATTGTGTTGCGAATATTCTCCAACTCTTGCCTGAGCCCTTGGTTTTCAAGGCGAAGAGACTGTAATTCTTGAGTGATAGCGTTGATTACTTTCTTGATGCCCTCCGTGACTCGACTCGATTTCGTGATCTCCTCGACTTGTTTCTGGAGTTCTTTTGGGAGCACCATTTCCATCGGTTTGCTGCCATTTTGCTGGCCTTTTCCACCTTGCGTTTTGCTGCTTCGAAGATCCATAGCAAAATAGTAGCAGATAAGAGCAAAAGTTGGATCGTCAAATATAGCAGCTTTCTCTCTGCCTTACAATAAGCAAGAAGAAACAATATTATACCTTCGTTGGTGGCACACAAATGAACCAGAGATTGCCCACGTGCCACAGTGAGCAGAGCGAAGGTCCTTCGAACAGGAAAAGCAGGATACTCAGGTAGAACAAAGTCGAACTAGGCGTTGAATAAGAAGCGATGAGAGCGGTATGGTTAAGCAACCGCACACAAGCCGTTCGACAATGAGAATGACAAAAAATTTTGGAAAACGCTTCACGAATTTGCGTGTCATCCTTGCGCAGGGGCCATGCTAATCTACATATTTTGGATGTATATTTTTCATATGCGTTTTGTATACACATTCTGAATGTTGTTAATGACAGTTTATTTGAAAATTCTGGCGTTGTTGCGGGATTGGAGAAACTGGGAAAGACAAAGACGTTCAGAGAACCATCGTCAACACTGATGTTACAACATACAGAAGTAGCGTTAACAGGCGGTCGTAGCTGCTCAAGGCGATGTCGCAATGAACTAGGAAGTGTACTAACCTATTGGAAACCGATTTGGATGCGTTTCACGTGCCATACCGAAAGCTGGTAAGCAGGCTTTGCAGATGGGTGGGAATTTCTTAAGAGGAGCTTGACGCTGTTGATCGCCTCAATTATTTATGGCCAGTGGAGGCTGAGCAGGCGCCAGCTGACCATCACAACTCGCCTTCCCTTACAGTAAACCACTGGGGCCCGACTCGCCGAAGGGTCCGGCGAGATTTACACGATCATCGACTCAGATTTTAGCCATACTCTGATGTATTGCGCGTAACTTCCGTTCAACTCGCTGAACGGCACCGTTTCTTTAGTTTTATATTTAATTGTTCTCCGAATTGTTCTATAGATAGATGCATGTCGTAAATATTTATTAGATGAATAAATTTTTATTATAAATTATTCTATTTGAATAGCGTAATCGTACAATTGTTGCACATCACCAAACAACACAGATTATAACAACCATATGTAGTGATAGTAGAACGACTCTTATCAAACCCAGGATCTATCGTCACTAACAGCGCTCTCTAAACAAAAAGGCACTACGTAATCTCTTCAAATAACAACGAGATAATAAAATAAATCAGCTTATAAGCTAACGAATGAGATCAACGACACGAACGTCCTTCTTTCCTTTTAAAGGAATTTGGACGAGTCCTGAATCATTAAAAGTGTACATTAGGTGTGTATTAGCATAGTATTAGTTAGTTCAATAACCCGTATAAATTGAGTTTCCAGCTCAATGCCATACTATGCAGTTTCGGATCGGTCCACGATCGGTAACAAACTCATTTCTTCCTGAAAAAAAAACCTGAGATTTTTCTTCCCAGTCAAAACACTGGAAATTTCCGAGAACTACTGGAAAGTAAAAAGTACGGAGAAAAACTTGGAAAAAAACTGATACCCGGAGGTGGTGTGGTCAAAAACGTCAACTCACCTCATTCTCGTGTCCGATACCGTTTCCTCTGGCATTCAGCTGCTTAACAGCTTCCTTGGCTTCAATCAGTGAAGTTCTTGCGCCTGCAGGTACCAGAAGAGCTGATGGGTCAAGGATCGGGGCCGACTGGAACAAAGTTCAATTGAAAGCATAAAGCATTCGGGTTGATCAGTCCTTTTTGTGCCACGCATTCTACATCCATTTTGGGTCGTTATGACATTTGGATGCGACGTGGCCTATACAATGCGAACGGGAGTCAGCCGCTTAGCAACTCAGTGTTTATATCCGAAACTAGTTGATGCCAATTAACGTTCCATCCCCCTTCTAGGTCAGATCACCAGAGCTGCGCAGTCATTGAAGCTCATGGTTAGGCTTCAGCCTAGGCTTTTGCTCACACATTAGCTTATGTACAAACCCATGATAGGGCTTAGGCGCAGTCTCAGGCCTGTTACGAGCAAATCAAAAATGTCCTAATTTTAGGTGACCTGAGGAGAACTGAAGTACACCGCAGACGCCTAAGTAAAGAATGAGAGGTTTGGTAGACCTCAGCGGCGCACAATCCAAGATTTTGCTCCCGAATCGCGCTGTGGTAAGCGCGCCACTTCACTACATCCTTCCGCCCAGTGGTGCAATAATTTCAAAATATACGAAAAACAAGGTGGCAATGACCTCCACAAAATTAGTTTCCCTTCAAAATATGATTCTACTACTACTTAGAGAATGAGCTTCCACAGCACAGTGTTGAATCTATT